TGCATACACTTTCTTCTTGTAGCCACTAGATGGCATCATCGGGCAAGAATATATTTCTGTAGTGTACGATGCCAGAAGGGAGCTGTGCCTGACACATAGTAGGTAGCAATCAGGGGCATTGACATAAAGCTCTACTGGGGCCATACAGTCTATCACGGGGCACAGTCCCCCTCATCCCCCATGTAAATGTTTGATTTATTTTTGATGGAAGTGTATGAAATGTGTTAGTATATGCTTTACCAGCTTCCCTTGCTTACCCCATTAATATTGGCTCTGTCATGTCAGAATGGGCTTTGACTGGAGTATAAGCACACATACCAATGGTACCACCTAAGAAAAATTCTGTCATAGCCCTCCTACCTGATTTGTGAGTCATGTAAACAATTTTCCATTGCTGCACAGTCACACCTGACACTGCAGTGCTCTCACTACCTCTCCTTTAAAACAGTCTGTCTCTGTAATACGCCTGAATGGAAACCTCTTCTAGAAAAATCCTTGTAAAGTCTGTGAAGACTGATGCTGGCTGTACATCTCTGGCTGTTCTTGTACTGGATGAGGCTGACTGTGTTTCACCTGGGCCTGTGTGACCTGCTAAAGACGTCTGGGCTGGGTCTGTGCTGCATTTGAATCAACTGTGCTCATACAGGCTTATGATCCAGCTGCTACATTACCGACAAATTTAAGCATAGCCGCTTTAAATTATATAATACTATATACTATATATTAATACTTGCTAGATATTAATGTTATCAGCTGCATCAGGCCCATACAAACTGTCCCCCCTAGTTTCCTTTGATACATTTTCAAAGCTAACATACTATTTATACTAGGGCTGGGCGATATGGCCAAAAATGTTATCATGATAAAACATTTCATGTCGTCGGATATCTATAATTAGCAGGATAAATGTCAAATCATTATTTCTATTGAGTTTAAAGGCTGATATTTGCTCCTGAGTGAAAGTTAGAGAAACCAGGAGGTTAATTGTGGGTTTAAACTATTCTTTCTGATCATAACAAAAACTTTATGCCAAACAGTGAGGCAGAACACTCAAAACAATTATGAAATAAAATCTTTTTTCAACAAATATGCACCAGTAAAATGAAGTTAAATCTTTTTTCGGTCCCTTTTTCCTCAACAAAATAAATATCTTAATAAGAAAAGTATGTGCTTATTCGTTTATGATTCAAATTAATAAGATCGAACATTTATTGAATATTTATTGAACATTTATTGTAATCTTATTGAGGACAATTATGTCGCGATAATTGGGTGTGAATGCTGCAAGCATTCGCAACCTATGTTGTTGCTAACCTTTATTATTGTTATTCTTCGGTCACGTTGTTTTTGTGCGCTAACTAGTCCCACAGTTTTTGACGTAGAAACTCCGTTCAAAGTCCAAGTTGTCCGGCTCAATGAGGAATGGGGTGCTATTACTTTTGTCATTAATACCTTGAATACTTTCCAAAATATTCAATGTTTTCCAGGAAAATTCTCCCATTGTAAGTGAATGGAGAGACTGTCGAAATCCTCCTCATACCTACTCCACTTTGAAAGCTCACCAGTTCAGCATACTTTCAGCTACAGACTTGATTTAAACTGTAAATTGGTCACAAGAAGTTAATCTATTAATGATGCATTCAGCTTTTTGATATGTTTTATGGTTTGTTCACGGTCGCTGTCAAAGTTTTATGCTTTTTTGTGCTCTTTTCTGAGTTTATAATGGGTGTGTATTGCGTGAGTTAGAGTGGGTGACATCATCACTACAGTGTAGCAGCCTCAGAAAATCTTCTTAGATTTTTCTCTTTAACTCGCTGGCTTGACCACAATTTTAACTCTTCCTGCATAATTTTACCCAAGAAACGTAGTAAAATTTGTTGTGGTTCCTCCCTCACATGTGCTTATTAAATCCCTCTGGCTTATAGATTTATCTCTGTGTCTTTCCAAAGGACAAGAGTGACAGAAAATCCTCCATAGGCTTCAATAGTAAATTCTCCTCAACTTTTCTTGACCGGAGCAGAACGTACCAGTTTTGCAACTTGGCAAAGTGGTCACTTTTTTCAACTTTACTCAAAAAATATATCCTGTTGTTCAGAAATGCCTTCTGCCCTCCCAGTCAAGTCATTTTGTCGATATGACCTTTAGTTTAGTCTCTGGGGAGGTTTGTTTGAGGCAAAGTCTCAGAGAGAGTTTCCTATCTGTCTATATAGGATAGCTGGTTGCCCAGGTGATGTTAATAAGTGAGAGATCAAAGGGAGATACACACGCACACACACACACACACACACACACACACACACACACACACACACACTTGGTCCTGTGTTCCCGATTGGTGGACAGACATTAAGCTATTTCTTGAATGAAGTCAAGTGTACTGCATCCAGAGTACTGCATCTGCTACTACAACCACTACTACTGCACTAATTACTACCACTACTACCTGGTACTCCAACTAACACACAGAGAGAGACACAAACAGACACACTGTTCTCTTCATTGGAAAAGCTTAAAGAGACAGAAGCATCTACTGCTCCTTTAAGAGAGAGGCTGAAATGAGAGCTTGCATGAAGTTTAGCAATTCAGTTTAGCATTAGCCTCCAACAGCCACTATTCACACCGCAATTTCTCCAGAAATTGTTATTGTTATTGTTTTATTGTAGGCTACGTAGCTATGCCGTAGTCTACGCACATAGCCCTGACGCAGGAGTATAAATCAAGCTTGGGAGTTTCTGTGACAACGCACAAGCCGCACTCATTTCTCAGTCCTGAACCTGTGACCACTATATAAATATGTAAATATTTACTGGCGTGGAAAACAACATGAGCCATTTCTAACTAAACTTCAAATATGATTATTATCAAGATAATAATATTATGGCCAACGTGTTTATAGTTGTGCATATTTGGCACTAGAAATCGAAACATCAAAAAGCCTTTTTGTGCATACACACTGATTAGTGAAGAGTCAGAGTTTTATGGTTTTTATGTTACAGTTAACTCATTGAGTTACATTTTAAAGTTGAGATGGTAGCAGGTTTAAAATTTTACTGATCCATAAGGTTCCTGTTAAATAAAAGTAAATTTGTTTTCTCAACTGTTGTTTATGGTCAAGAATGAACTTTGGATCTGGGTCCTTTGAGATGCACAGATACTGACTCTTTGTTGTGTAACAATACACAAACCTCTATCATAACATTTGTCTGTGTTGTTGTGTAGTAATAGGTAGTAATATTGACTTTGACAGAATGGACTTTTGGTTTATTCAGTAATAGTTAGGGTTACCCGTCTCTGTTCAAAACGTTTCTGGTTGTTGTTATCATCTTGTCCAGTAGGTGGCATGTGAAGACATCAACATGATTCATAGAAATCACTGGAACACTGGCTGTGTCAAAACTCCAGAAGAGAGTTTCAGTGTGTTTTTTCCTCCTGATGCAACATTGAGAATGAAAGTTTGGCTGAGTTCAAAGAAAAATGGTGGGCAGAGCGCAGTTTTTGGCTGATGCTCATTTTTCATTTCTTGGTCCTATAAGCAAGGGCGTCAATTTATGTTGAAAAGTGGTGGGCATACTTACGGGCTCATATTAGGGTTGTAACGAAACACTTAGTCCACGAGACGTGAGAATGCACAATATTGGTGTCATGAGAACAAGACAAAAAGATACTCCAATGCTATTTAGAAGAAATCTTCATCAATGAAATATGCCATTTGATTTGGGGGTCTGGGGGTTTCTCCCCCAGAAGCATTAAACACTTAATTTCCTGCATTCTAGTAACATTTTCTGCGCCAATTTATGGTGAAAATGTCTTTATTTATATGAAGGGAAACAAAATTCATGTGGCCGATGACAATTCAGAATATAAAAATATTATTGAATTCAATGCAGTAATCAGCAGCTTGTTTTTTTTAGCCTAAGTCACTTTTTTGGACAAGGCAGATTTGATTTTCTTTTATATTTACATTGCATTTCATGTTTTCCTATTGTGCAAGTAAACCCTTCTCATAGTATGTTTTATTTGTTATTTAACATTTCTTGTTGCAAGCTAATTTTCAGAAAACCTTTAGCAAATGCTTTCAAAAACTGGTGGGGTCAAAAATAAACCATTTAAAAAAGTGGTGGGGACATGTCCCCAGCGTAAATGACACCTATGACTATAAGGGACATGCTTACAGACCATTTTACTGCCAATGAATCATAAGACGTGGAGGGGCTTTATTGCTTTTATACTGTTGCTGATTTAAAGCAAATATACTGGTGAATATGTGTCACAGGTTGTCCTGAAAATTTGAAATGAAAACATACGAATGGGGAGCATAGCCAATCAAAATGACCTCAGAATATTACTACCATTGTTGCTGTATTCAAAAAGTGTATCTATGTGTCTAATGTTAGCAGTAATTTAAAGTATCACAAACATGTACAGATGATATGGAGACTCCTGAAGGCCATCAGTTGCGGTTTATGGATAATTTCCCCAAACATTTATACTAATACGTTTCTCACAGGCCTTCCAGTAGACTGTAGCGATAGCAGTGGTGAGGGCTTCTCCTTGTGCCCACAGAGCATTTGCATACGCACATCCTGAATTAACTTACTGTGTCATATTTGCACATATGACTGAACAGGATCCATCTCTGTCGATAATCTCCCTCCCAGTGGCTGTGAGTCGGTGGTAAAGTACAACACCTTGTATTTAGTGAAGTGTGACGCTCTTTGAAATTACATTTACTTGTTATCATGCACTCTAAAATCAAGTGGTGTTTCTTGGTGTAATAAAGCCCCTAATGGCTTCTCAGACCCAGAGCATGATTGGCTGATTGCTTCTGTTGCTAGGCTACAGCACCACGGTATGCCTCAGCAATACTGATGGTGGCATCACATTAAGGAATAAAAATGAAAAAAAAGATGAGCACAAGGAAAAATATGCTATATAATGTTATTTAATAATGGTACTCTATGGTGGAACCATAAAACATTTACAAAATATTCACAAGGTGATGCAGTCAGTTGACAATACATTTATTTCAATTATATATCTTCAAAAAGTTTATACTCAGAGTGCATGGTTCAAACGCTGCATTCTCTTTGCAGTCTGTAGAGCAATCTATTGTGACATCATACAATAATTCAATACTAACTTAATTTACATATGCAAGAACCTTCAATCTAACAAGGGTACGAACCGAGAATAAAGGTTATATACAAAATGTACAACAAAACACCATAACATATATCCATCAGACACGGTCTAAAATGACCAATAATTTCTCCCTGATTACCGCATACAAATACAATGCAACTTACTCTCATTTCTTAAAAATGTTATACATTTCTCAATCACTAATGGGTGATTTTCATAAAGATTTCCCACACGGTGACATGTTGTGAAAATAGCTTATGTCATTTCAACAGGGCATACACAAACTCTCCTCGCCAACTGTGTATCAGACATTTCTATTGCTATGTTGTATATTGATTTCAGAGGTCTTCTCAATGTATGGAAAGTGCCCTTTACACATTGTGGCATGAATGTACTGTAAGAAATCATTGTTGGTATGTTGTTAATGTTTGTACATGTTCCTTTTTTCCTCTGGGCGAGTGTGTCCCTCTTGTTAGCTTTGTGAGCTGGTATAGGAGGACAAAGTCTAGTGAGGGACAACAGGCTCATTCTACTTTTTGGTCTTCAGAACAAAAACTGACAAACTCCAGGAGGGAGAGATGATGACCTGCTGGCCTGTCGACTCCAGGCTCCCAAGGAAGAACACAGTCTATGTTTTGAGGGTTTTTTTAGCAACTCTGGAAACAACTGGATGAGGAATCAGTTTGAGTTCAGGAGCCTCCGCCTCTTGCTGTGCCTATATCTTTCACTGATATTTTTTCCCCAAGCTCAGTCTCGTACAGTGTCAGACTTGGCACAGCTACCACACCAACTGTCCATCATGCATAGGCCAGTGTACTTTGTGTGGCAGGCCAGGCTTGCATGGGGAGCAGGAAGGCTCCCCAAAGCGGATACTTCAGTGAGCATAAGCTCTCTGAACTCAAGGATCTATGCGGAAAGCTAAAAGCTTGTCAGAGTGTTGGTTATTCAGGGTGCGCAGGTCCGGCAGACGTAACAGCAACTTTGGGAAGAGTGTGCTGTCATCTGGGCGGCGACTGGTTATAAGAGAGCGCAGAGCTTTTATTAGATTCTCCTGCAGCTGCTCCACTGCTCCCACCTCCACTATACCAGAGCGATCTGCAGAAAGGGAGAAGAAATTGTTTAGATGTCGTAGACATGAGCAAATGTGTGCATATGGATGGATGTGTTTGTGTGCATGTATGTATAAGTATCTTACAAGTGTCTTACCAGCAGAAACCAGCACAACAGCCATGAAAAGGGCCATCTCGTCCGGCTCCAGACCCAAAAAACCTAGCTTCTCACTGAATTCGAACATGGAGTCCAGTAAGGAACCCATGCCAAGAGCTCTCAGTGATGCCAGTGAGTATGTCTGCCCATTGAGGAATGTCACTGTCCTCTCCTTGGGGTCAAACAGTGAGCAGAACCTCACCATCAGAACCTGTGGACAGAAGCAGACCAGGTTAGCATCAGAAAAGACTCCAAAGGATAAGAAAGCAAGTGAATAAAAAAACTTCCACACTCCCATCAAGAAATTCTATTTAACTGGATGTACCTGGAAAGTGCCGGATTTGAGCAGCATGACCTGATCATGCTGGCTAAGAGTCTGGAAGCCCGGGATGCTCTTTGCAAACTCCACTACTTCTTTAACAGCAGGGGTGAAGCACTGGGAGAAAGACTCCCAGACCTCCTGACTGGAACGACTAGCCGGCGCCACGGGACATGAATTGAGTGGACATGCCTGCAGGAGAGACCGAGAAGAGAGGAAGTGTTAAGTACTTTTTATTTACATTAAACTGAAAGATATTCACATACTGGATAAGGGGGGGAAGTCTCACCAGCACTTTGGCTCCTCCATTTAGCTTCCAGGGGCAAGGACTTTGGTTCTGGGAATCCCTTGCTTGGTAGCTGTTCTGATTGGCTGAGTAGGACTGAGATGACTGGCGGCCGGTGACGGGGCACTGATTCTGATGGGAGAAGTTGTACCTGGCGTTGTCAATGTTGGAGTTTTCATTGTTGGTGTGGGCAACAGGGCAGGTTGTGGGGACATGGTAGCTTGATGTCAGGTTTGCCTGCTCCCCCTGAACTGTGTGCTGAGTCTGGGTTGCCGAGTGTGACCGGGAAGGCTCCTGTGCCGAACTGTGCTTGAAAGACAAAGAGCCGATGTTGCCGTTGCCAGCAGCCATCTTGAGTGGTTTCTCGTCACTGTTCATTAAGTTGCTGCGGTAAGACTGCGATATGGAGCATGCTCCTTCATTTGTCTGGTTCTGCGGACTGCAGGGGGCATCGGGAGGAGGTGACACTTCCATTTCCATGGAAGCTGATTCGTTGAGACTGTTCATGTAGCTCTGCATCTCATCCAGTAGTCTCTGCTTCTCCCGTTTGGGAATACGCCCAAAACGCACAGCTGAGGACAACAGGAAGAGAGCATCCTCTGTTAGTATTTACTGGCATCAGGAATCGATATCTCTGGCAGCTCCTTACTGGCAGCACTTTGATTAATACACAGAACAGCAGAAACACTCATTTTCACATTCAAACAGTACAGAGAAACAACCACACCGTGCTCCAATATGTATTCTACATCTGATGCTCAAGATGTAATCTCTTTGTGGATTACTCATCCTCCTTTCCAGCCTTTACAATACTCCCTTCCCCCTTTTCAATTCTTCTCCACTGACAGCCCTATTTATATCACGCTGTATGCTACACCACCTCCCCCAGCCTTTCTCTGCCTTCCTGTTGAGCACTCGCTCTCTCTTTTTCTGTGGAAGTAGGTCAGTGGGTCAACAGCACTGAACTTGATGTCATTAGCACCAGAGTGAGTGAGAAGTGGAAAGGTCATAAAGACAAGGGAGGCAAGTAGGAGAGGTGATGAGACAGGTATGGAAAGAAATTGGATGATCAAAAATTTATCTGGGAGCAGATATGTTCAAGTCACAGACATGACTTGAAAATCAATGGTTGCTCTATAACATTATCATTGTGGGCTTGTAGAACCAATAAGTCTAATAATAATCATTCTTTTTAACGTATCTGTGTGCCTATGAAAAGTAAATGTAAAATATCGTTATTATTAATAAATTTTCCCTGCCGTGATCTGATGAATTAGCGGGTGATTTTTCACTCCTGCATTTTGGCTTTTTTGGGTCAGCTAAAAATATTCACTCTAGAAAAAGCATGATTTATTATCACCTAGTTTAGCCACACCCCAAGAGATCAGAGTCCTGCGGTGACTCTGCAGTGAAATAATGCAGTAGAGCAGATTACTGTGTAGTAATATTATTTTAAGTTTGAGCACTGTAGGCTTTCATGATTAAACAGGACAGAATGACATTATGTCTCAAGTGATTATTTGTAAATGCCAGTGTCGAGAAAAAAAAAAAAAGTAGGTACGGCTGTACATCTTGTTGAGCACTTGGTGTAATCAACAACTCTGTGCCCCAATTTCCCAAAATAAACCATATTTGTCACAGTTTCTCCGTGACTGATGACTACTGGGACTCTAGAGCTCCTCTTGCCATAAATCAGACATCAGGGCAAGGAGAGAGAAAGACAGATGGGAAACGGAGAGGAATGGAGAGAGTAAAAGAGACAAGAACATGAACACCGTGTAAATATCTTCTTTAAGGACACTAACACCATCTCTCACCATCTCTGGACATTCCCACGGAGAGACACTTCTTAAAGCGGCAGTGCTGGCACCTGTTCCGGTTCATGCGCATGATGAGACACTTTTCGTTCTTTACACACATCTTGTAGTGGATATTCTGCTGAATGCTGCGTCTGAAAAAACCCTGGGGAAGGCAAAAGGATAGAGACATTAAAGGGTGTCTTTTGTGGGAATGTGTCTGTGCTTGTACCTATTGATAACAAAAGACATAATACTATATTTATTTAGTCTCACCTTGCATCCTTCGCAGGCGTGCACGCCATAATGGAACCCAGATGCGATGTCCCCACACACCTTGCAGAGAAGCACCATACCTCCGGTTTCTATGAGAGAGGCATACATCCATTATCAGAGAGAGAAAAACAATAACAAAGTGCTGGCAGGTAAACGTAAAGGAAAACAGGAAGGAGGGAAGTGAGTGGGGTACTTACTGGTGAACGTGCCAGTGAAACCACAAGGTCTTTTGGCCACTGTGGGGTGGTTGTAGGTTGCCGATGATACTGTTGTTATCTGGGCAACGGGAGCGTTGTTTACTTCAGGAAACTGGAAGACCATTCTTGGGGAATGAGTTCCTCCCCCTTGTTCCCCTCTCTTGCTCAGGGCCCCAATCTCCTGAAAGGAGACACCCTCTGGTGATGAAGGCTGCGAGTGGGAGGAGGGCGACTGGGTCTGGTATCCACTTGAAGGACTGCCAGGACTCGGACTGGCACTGCCGGACGAGCCAGCGTAGAGGATAACACCACCTGGAGGAACAGAGGGGGGCAAAAACTCAGTTCACTGATCTTCATCTAGGTCTGTGTTCACATGTGAGTGGGAGTGCAAGTGGTGAGTGCACTGCTCTACTTGGACTCAGTGAGCGAACTTTGCAGACATTCACAAACAAACAAAATGATCATGTTGGGATAACAGAAATTTGATCTGATGAATAATTTATACAAAACGTCACAGCTGGGGCAATAACAACCCTGACCTGGATATCTGTGTCAAGTCTTTGGGTTTCTAATATGTTAGATATCAAATAAAAAAAATGTCATTCCAAAGTGTGTGTTGCTTTTACTTGTAGTGATGTGGTGGCATCTTGAAAGCTCATTGGAGAGTGTTATGTGAATAAATAATGCTAAATACACCATGACTAGGCAAGATAAATACTCTTATTTGATGGTTGGAACACCCACACATGGTTATTTAGATTTTATAGCCTGACTTTCTACAGAGGCTGCATTTCTTTCATTTCCATTTCAACAGCCTGCAAGGTATCATGTCGTAGCAAAAAGTATTTCAGGAAATTATACGCACATCACAGCAAATCTATGTGCCATAAACAGGCCTTTGTTTAGGGAAGTCACATCAAGTCGGAAATGCTCAATTCCCCCTCAACACAACACCCATCCTCGGCCCTTGTTTTGCAGAAAGTGTTCTTCCCCGCAATATGAAAGCCTGCCCCTCACGTGCAGGCAAAGCCAGCCAGCTCTCTGTGTGCTTGCTCTCAGCATAGTCTTTCCTCCTCTTGCTTCTCCCGCCCCCGCCCTTCTTCTCAATTCTCCTCCCCTTCTGCCTCCTCCTCCTCTTCCCTCCCTCCCTACCCACTTTGGCTGCGGGCGGCAGACCCATCTATCCGCCAGCCACCTGACCGGGAGCTCACATGGACTCTTGACACAGTTCCCGCCTGGCTCACAAGGCTCTTTGCGCAGTCCCGTGTAGACAACAACAGCAGTACAATAACAAGCGCCAGGGCAGATCACGTTTGGCATAGAGAGGGCTTTAATGCTGTGACTACAGACGTAGAGGAAGGCAAGCAATCTGCCCTAAGTCGCTGCATTCCATAGAGTCACTAGAAAGTGTGCAGAGGTTAACAGTCACGTCGCTGCTGGCAACCATTTTGACACATATCAATTATTTGCTTGAGGTTTTTAGTCAATTAAAGTGAGTTTTTTATTTTGCATCTATATCACAGGTGTTATAAAGATGGGAAAATGCCTAAATTAATTTACCCACTTTGACACAATTATTTTAATTTATAATATCATGGTAATAAAACTAAAAAAGTCATGAGAATTGAATCTTTACTTATGCAGACATTCATCATTTCAAGAATATTGTGTATATTTCTGCTCATTTCACTTTTATAATTATCCTCGTCTTCAGTTCAGAGTTTATTTGCCACTGCGTCAGGTGTCTAAATACCTTGGCATAAAAGCCTGTCAAGCAAAACGTTTTCCACGTGCAGAAATAGCATGCCTCACATTCAACATCCAGCTTCTGCATCACTGGGCTCATATCATGATGATCATGATTACACTTTGTGGGTCACCATCAGACAGATAGAGATTTTCAACACAGCTTTGTAACAGCATATCAAATGTCTGCCCTACTCTGCCTAGCAGATAGTGTATCTAACTGTAGTGGCACTGTTATCTCAAGTACTACTAACAATACCCTTGGATTGTCTACACTGTCATTCTGTGCACATTTTCTCTCAAGGACCTTGAATCATCTGAAAAAAAGCCTCCCTCATCTCTTGTGCTTTCTCTCCTTGAGAAAACACGTGCTGCATTTCTGTTTAAGTGCCTCCTTAATTCCACAGCTCACACGTGTCAACACTGAATGTAAGGTACTCTGGTGGCTTGTGTGTGGTATCAGAGCAGACTGGGACTTAACGTCACACACAAACGTGCACATGTGCCTGCACAGTTTCCTATGTGTTTGTGTGGGTAATATAAAGCTTTATGGACATGTGTGTCACCTGCTGAGGACAGGGTCACTCCCCACCCGTCCTGCCAAACGAACTCCACATCCACTTTCTACATTCAAAATCTCCGCACCCTGTGGTATTAAAACATTTGATATTCTGTGTCCTTGTAACCATTTCCTGGAAACTGGTTTGACAGAGTGCCAGAACGAGCTCTGGGAAAGTCATCCCTTGCTGTACACAGGCACAGGTTACAACATGTGACCTGCGGATGCACACAGAGCCATAAGAACTACAGAATAAACAAACCACTCCACCGCCCTTCTTTTACAACTGTGCATGGGCACTAATCCCCACTGCACGTGAAACAGCTGGCCTCGTGTATATTTAAGAAGCGTTTTCAAGGAGGATGGTTCTCTGAAAGCAAACAAAGGGCAAAATTTGCATCATATCACATGGACCTCCAATGATCTTTTAATGCTTTATCAAGAAATATCAATGATTCCATTGTATGTTGTTCCAGTTTGATCTTGTTTTAAGGAGTTCTGTTCTTCAAAACTTTAAAGAGTTTTACATGTTGTGTTTTCACCCATACATGTGTGATATAGGGTAGAAGAAGCAGGTTACACTCAAGTCTTTAGATAGAAATACAATCTGTCACCCTCTCAATGTGTATTAGCTAGTTGTGTGATCGTCTGTCAAGCTGAAAGCACTGAGGTATCTGGTTTCAGGACTGGCGTCAGAAATTTCTGGCATCTTTTTCATCATTAAGGACCTTAAGGCTCTGGCTAAAGAAATGCTTTTAGGTCACATGGTTAGCTCTCTGAACACTGGAGGTTACATTAGTGGTGTTCATTGTACAGTCGTGGGCATCCCTTGACAAACTTTCAAAAATGACTATTCATTTTAACATGGATTTGCGCTCATCATCCCAGACACAGACCTATTCAGAATTAGGTTATTCAACTAATAATACACCCACATTCTTCATGGTAATTATACAGTCTGATCTTCAACCAGTAGAGTGGAAGGAATAGCCCATCATCGACTACTTAAGCTATGCTACACAATTTTGATATGGGCCAACTCCATGAATAATGTAAAATTCATCACACTGACCCACAGCTTCTGTTTGTTGTCAATGACAAACTGTACCAAAAAGGTAGACTTCTTTTGTGAATGCTGCAAGTGCTCAATGCCTTCAATGTGTTACACTTGCAAGATCTGAAACTGGTAAGCCCAGTTCGACTGGATCCAAATGTAGGTTAATGTGTTATTTCAGGAAGCAAAACTGTGATACTTCACGTTTAATATGGCCCATTATTGTTAATAATGAACATTTAAATCCAGTTATAGGAATCAGGACGAGAGAAAGGGCTGGTAAACCTCTCTGACCCACTGACCAACCTATCAGGGAAGGAAGAGGGATCCCCCGTGCGATGAGAGTGCGCGCGGTGGAGAGAGGAGCGACCAGGAGGGGTGGGGTGCTCGGTTATCAAGTGCGGCACGTGGACACTGGGGCTGAATACACGTGCTGTCAGCACGAGGCGGGGTAACTGCGCATTAAAAATCCAGGCACATGATTCCCAATCGTATCACGACTGTTTCTACCCTGGGTGCACTGGGGCGGAGAGCAGATGAGAAGACATGACAGTCATAATGGTCACCTGCTGTTCAAGGACGCGGGTATAATGTCCGTCTGTATTTGATGTCATTTTTCTACTGGGACCCTATTTATGCGATATTATAAGTGGTGGCGTCATAGTGCATTATGATATTTCTGTCTCGCGGTCTAAGACACATAGTAGCTTGCTCTGATATGGCAGGCTATTCATTTAATTTGCTGTTGACGTAGGCTATGTTTAAGCGGCAATAGCCTATTCATGAACTTTCCATTGCTAGTTCGGTCTATATCTTTTCAGAAATTAACACAGAGTTACCTGTCGTATCCACCACAATACTGTAGCCTATTAATATTTGACAGAGCCACGAAGTTAACGGGGAAATAGTTGGAAACTGATATGGACTGGCTTGCTTGTTATTTGTTTTTGTTTTTTTGGAAGGATGTCATTCGTCGTCAACTCCCACTACATTAAGTTCATTCAGGTCTTGGCAGAAGTGGATGTTTACTCCGAATACTGTTCTTAAACGCACGGAACCAGCCTCAGTGGGCGTGACTGTTCCTTGACATAGCCTACTCACATGTTTTGGAAAAAGCTGGGCTTCAGTCGCATTTAAAAAAAAAAACCCCAGCCCAGTCAAATGACTCACGCACTGCAACAAAGTAACAACTCACACTACTTCCCGTAAATGCCTCAGTTCATGGTTGGGGGCGATTTTACGGAAGTGGAAGCCAAAGCACAGAGCCTGCCGCAGAGTTAGGCTACTGTGTGACTCGCCTTGTCTAAAAATCAAAAGCACTAGAGTGAGGATGGGGCTTAAGATACAGGGATTACGTGGACAGAGAACGTGCCGGGTCAGTGGGCGTTTTGGGTCGCGCTTCACGTAGCCTAAGTTTGTTTACGTGTGAGAATCGGAAGTCCGCCGCAAAGACTGACGAGAGAGGACTTCCCTCCCCAGCTCACTCACTCAAAGCTCTCAACTGTCTGCAGCCCAGAAGCACTTGGCAGCATGCCATATGTTACACAGCTGAGTTAAAAGCCAGCCATACACTCACTCTATAGTATAGCTATGGCTGCATCATCCCTCAGCGCGTGACTGAACAGTGAGATTATCAAAAGCGTAGCCTATATAGTGATTAAAACGCAGCCGCTTCGGCTCTGCAGAAATGAGAAATTGCAGAACTGATAAAAGGTGATTAAGCTACTACACAGTGTTTTAAAATGACATACAGTAGAAGTGGATTTAAAAAAACAACAACAACGACATCAATGCGTTTCTACGCACGCGGGGCGCTTATCAGTTTTTTGTAGATATTGACTAATGCAATTAAAGTAGCTATATGAACAATGCTGATAAACAATCTTTATTAACCAATAGGTACACTTGCAATCTAAGAATGAGGCTATTTTATGTGTGGAATTGCTATGGCATCTATCACTACGCACCATTGTCATGCTTTCTTTACTCCCATCTCCAGATGATTAAAAACAAAAGACATACAGTAAAGTATAAAGTTTACTTACCACCAGGACTATTTTCCATGTTTCCTAGTCGATCGATGTTGTTCAGCTGTTCCGTGCTGTTTAACTGTGGACGTTTAATTCTGGACTGACTGCCTTTGCTTGCCACAGAGGAGTTTCGTTGATATAGAGGTGAGAGTTAATAACTGCCAAGGCATAGAGTGTGTATCCAAAAGCTCAGACCAACAGGAGTGTGCGCGGTGCATTGGGGGTTTGAGGAAACCCGGTCGACGAAGAAAGAAAAAGTAATAAATGTTTTTAAGAGGAAATTAGCGCAGTTGCGCTGATCCAAAATAACTTCCGAGGTGAATGTGTGCCGCTCGGCTCTCCGTCTGCGCACCTTGCAAATGCCAGGCTGTGGTAAGATACCAACTGCACAGGACTTCTCTAATTTACAGAGGTCCCTGAGCGTTCAGATGCTTGCCATGTACAGTCACTAGTAAAACATGACCAGAGTGGAAGTGGTTTAAACACTCCCCACTCGTCAATACGCAACACGCGTCCTAAAATAACCAGCACGTTTTCAGGTGCCTGAGAAATGTGACCGTTTTTTTCTGTCTTCTTTTTGTGTGCCCCGTTAACCGCCTGTTTGTTGGTGTGTATCAGGGATCTCTCTCTCTCTCTCCCTCACTGTGTCACGCTCTCTGAAAACATTTCACCCACCTCCTCTCCTCATGCCCCCACTCTTTTTACTCTTTCGCACTGTTTCATTGGCCAAGAGCCCCGCGTGGACACGGCACATTGGGCTCGTTAGACTTTGGAATGATGGTAAGCTCTGCAGCATGTGCGCATGGCATGTGAGCTCACGCTGCCCTACTGACACACATTTTATGCTAATGAGCCGCCTGGGCTCGGCGATAAGAAAACGAGGAAACGAGGAGGAGAGAGGTCTCACTCCTGCCTCATCTCCTGTCTCCTTTTACAGGTTTGTTGGGTGAGGACAGACGATAATGGGCTTTAATGCCACGACAGAAATCATGTTTGATAATGACGCCAGCGAATGAAGAACAATAATTATGTTTAACGATGTTATCTTTCTGCCGGAGCCAGGTTGCACAAGCACCTCAAAGGTAATAAATCCATTTCTTTTTCAAGATGGAAATGGGGGTAACCTATACCTTTAAGAGTTTAGACACGTTTCAAGAGATGTAGCAGGTGAGCTGAAGAAAAATGTCTCCCATTTTTCCCCTCTTTTTTGTTAGGCCTTTTGTTGATTTCTTTTAAAACCAAGAAAGCAGATTTATTATTGTTCCTACCTATCCCATCACACCTCATTTGTCTGCTGCTTTCACATTTAGCTTTTCATTTACTTATGATGGAATATAAAATGCAGGGATTAGTGAGAGTATTGTTAATATAATAAGATGGCCTAAATATAGTAAATAAATCAAAGTTAGAAAGATATAGGCTATAGAATACATTTTCCAATGCCGTTTTCTATTAAATGTAGGAGCAAAATCAATAATGCATAATAAGCAAGGGAGGCATGTGGACAGACTTTGACACACTGACCTGAAGGTTACTGTAGTTTTGTTTTGTTTTCTCACTGTCTCTCTATCTCAATGGTGACATTTTTTATTTGTTCTATTGTAATTTTCTCTTTCACATAAAAAATGATGAGGCGGAGAAAGAAAGAAAACAAAGCGTTGCACCACAATGTGAGGTGAATATGTCAAAGCCCTGTCCACGTGCCTTTCCTGCTCCGCATGAGCAGAGCGCACGCGCAAAGGCTGACGCCCACATTTTCAAACCGGAAACAGGTGCAGCCTTTGGTTAAGCAGTGGCTGCCTTTCTCGTACATAGACGATCTTTGCCTCGATGAACTGGCACGTGGAGAAAGGGCGGTGCTCACCGTGACTCCCACCCCCGCCCTTCCTCCTCTCCCATCACGTTTCTTTTCTCTGTACAGATTGTGTTTGCTGAAAGCCAAAATAACGCCGGAGATTGGCTGGGGTAGGGTGAATGTAGGTCAGGAGCTACTCGTGCAAACATGAGCAGCGAAAAATAACCTAAATGTGCCTAAAAATCGCTGTGTCCTCACAGAAAGCACAAAAAAAACGCCTGTTGCGGGCAAGCACAAGGGGGATTAAATATAGGTCACGTACGTCGCTCACCCTGTGGGGGTGGGGTGTTTATGTTCATAACCTGTTTCTTATTCTGGAAAGGTGAGTTGAATGGAAAAACTCCTTATTGCAGCATTCAACTTGTAGGGAATTAGGCTAAGGGGTCATAGTGTGTTTGATGTAAAACTCATCACCTGCTCTGTATCAGTGTCATCTGCTTGTGGCAATTCGACACCAAAATATTTGAAAATAGGGCGCAGGTTTAAAAATACATATTTAATATAATTTTAAAGTGTTTGCCCTATACCATTTACTACCAGGTAAAATAAGACAATTTATATTTTGAAAGAAAATTAATTATAAATGTACTTTTTTAAAAACCCAATCCACATTTAAGTGCAATAAATAATTCACAACAGTTCTATTACTGTATTATTAAAATGATATGTAGGGCCTACCATTGAGACTATGTGTGTGTGTGTGTGTGTGTGTGGGGGGGGGGGGGGTAGCTCAACTTCCTGTTTGATGCTTGCCCCACCCTTTTCCAGGATTGAAGGGCAGAATGACAATAGATTTAAACATGATCTTGTGAGAAAATAAACTAATGTTCAATAATAGCCTACCTCATGTCCCATACCTGAATTGACCCAACATTTTAAAGTGTAAAAAAATGATGAATGATGAATCAAATTTTGTTGCAGACCCTCCCTGGGATTACCTGGACCCCACTTTGAGAGTCTGAAATCCCCAACACAAACACGATCTGTAAATCTGAAACAGGAATACAACAGCGCCGATCTGTGGTTGAAATAAGCTGTGCAGTTGATGGATTAGGCAAATGTGGCTATTTTTCTCATTGTATCCAACATAGAATCAGGTCGTCTGAACATGAAGAGTTATTTGGGATATATAGTCCGTGATGTTGACTTTTGTTGGTGTTGCATGACAGCATATAATTAAAATATGTCAGGGACAAATAGTAAGGTTTAAATTAATAATTATTTATGTTTTTGTTTTTTTTTTCCCAAAATGTGCATGTTTAGGAGAAACATAGTTCATCTGTTGAAGTTTGGGCATCATGTCACTATGCCTGTCAACTGTTCAGGCAACAATAATGCCCTGAGAAAGTAGACATCCACCCTCCCCACTCCCCTGTCAGAACTAAAAAGCAGGACTATATACTTTCCACAAGGTGGCAGTGCTTGTATAGGTAAAGGTATGTGAGGAATATTGTCAGTGGGCAGTGTTTGGCTATTTCATCAAGTTTTCCAAGTTCTCACAGGGTTTAAATTCAACGGCATTAGCCTCCACTGTCACAACACTTCAGCGTGGATGTATGTTATGTCAGCAAAGATGAAGGGACTAAATAAGACATATATGACACCAGCATTGGTGCTCTAATTAGAGTTATGGGGCCATAAAAATAACTAACTCTGTTTGTAGTATATGCACACACTGTGCTGAGGCCATGTATTTCAGGGTTGTCAAAACAAACTGTGACTTGTGGAATTTATAAGATTTTTTGAGTCTTATTGCTATGTTGTTATGGCTCCAGTGACACCTGGGAGAATAAGAACAGCTCTGCCCGGGGCTCTCATACATCACCTTACGATTCCTCCATGACAAACTCACACTTTCATTAATAGTATATCGACGGTTTAGTTGTACTTGGAAAGTTTTAAAGAAGCAGTATCATTATCATTTTTAACTGCAGAGATGCCGCATTGGTGTACTGTATTGGTGGCTAATGGCTTTTAATCTTCTGTATGGATCCAGCCCTGTTGTTCTGCATTACTCATATAGCCTCAAATTTGAAGGGGCGAACTCTGCTCTCTGCGTGTGCACAGTTTCTCAGTTCTCATGTGAACTCAAATCCGTACAGAGGCAGTATGTGCAAAGCCCAGATTTAGATGCCAAGCCTGGGTTTAGATGTTGTATGATGTTGAGATGTTGAGTTTTATCCCCCACACCAGACTAAAAGGGAAGACTAAATGGGACAGGCACAGCAAAAATAAATATGGAGTGAATGCTAACATTTAATATGCATGCCAGTTTACTTTGAATAGTGACGTTGAACTTTCTCTCTCTTTTCCATGGCGAAAACCAGCTCCACTGGCCCACTGATCCCATGTAGTGGCCGAAGAAGAACTGCAGCTTTATCCAGTTGGACAGTTACGATGAATGGATGGATGGATGGGGATTTGTTTCCCCTGCCAGGAAAGGTAAGTTTAAACAATAAGAACAACTCTTAGGATATAATAATTGATTAGATTTGATATATGTTTTCTCAAGTTTTCAGAAACACAGCAGGTAATAGTAAAGTAAGTAAAGCAATTTAAAGTTTAAAAACAGTGTTCGGCAGTGAGTCCAGAGGCAGCAGAGTTGTAGGAAAAAGTGACTTCACGGGGGAGGTTGGCAATGGCAAATTAGCCATTAAATACCAGTCAGTTTAAGTGTATATATGAGGTTGTGCAGTAGAGCTTTGTCCTTGTCACTTTGGGTTACAATGATGATATGCTAGATGTGTTTGTCCAGGTAGAGGCAGAGCCAGTGTGGGCTTCTCAGGGGTACAGGTAGGGTGCTTTCTTGAGTTTCTCTGAGGCGAGGATATTGCCTTTTCTTCTGTCTCTTCTCTTTGTCTCAGCAATTGTTTGAGCAGAAACCGTCACATTAAGAAACAAATGAAAATAGTCACAAATAGGCCTCCATCTCCATGAATCCAACAAAGCCAAAACAAAATGTCAGCTTTTAATGTACTCAGAAAGGTTCCCAGTCTGCATGGTGCTTGAAGGGACATTTGATGGAAACAGCTGGTCACAATAAAATGCACAAAACAAATACATCAACAATGAGCTAGGAGATATTGTACTGCTGGCTGCATTAAGGTCTAAGTAAGTAACATTCAAAGGTCACATTAAGTCTCCTGATAAACAAAAAGCAGTTTAGAACCATGATAGCA